TTGTGAACAATGCCAACATGGCAGGGGGGTACTAATTAGAAAGAACATGGTTAAAGTCTTCAGCACAGCTCCTGGTATTTAGTAGGGCTTCCATAAATGACAGCTGCGATGCTAATTACAGTAATGCTTATTAAGAGTTGCTCTTCAGGCTCTTTTTGAATATCTCTGTGATGGCAGTGCTTCCATAGTCAGTGCTAATGGTTGGAATTTTCTGCCACATGTTGTGCCCAATCCTGTTTCCTATAATTTCTAGCCATCTACTCTGGTGCTGCCTTTTGTGGCCCCACAGAACAAGTCTAAACCTACTCCCTCAAAGAACACTTCAAATATCGGAAGACAATTTTAATCTCCCACGCAAGTTTTCTTCATGGTAAACCCTTTAGTTCCTGGAATCCTTCCAGAGGTGACTTAGTTTTGGTCTCACCCAGGATACGTCTAAGCCCCTTTCCCTCATATATGAGCATCCTTGGGAAGATGCCAGCCAGCCATAAAGGAAAGCTGAGATAGCAGGTTTTAGATGCTATCCATACTGAATCATGTGAACATTCTAATGCATACCCTACAAGTATATTTCACATTTTCTTCTTTTCACTGTAGTTTCACCATAGTGTTCAGGAATATGAACACTACTACCCGTGAGGAAGGGCACATTGTAAAGACTATATTGTCAAATGCTGCACTGAAAAGTCACCCCCTATAACTGTGGTAGGTTTGATTGCATTATTGACCCTGGATTTTTACCTTCTGTATGTCAATGATGTGTTCCATGTGACTTTGAAGTTCCTGTTCTTTGATTTTATATACAGTAGTGTGACTTGCTTTGACCAAGAGAGTGAGGCAGAAGAAACAGCATGCCAGCTCCAAACCTAGGCTTCAGAGGCCTTGGGTATTTCCAGTTACCCTTCAGTGTTCTGCCATCATCATGAGATAACCCACCCCCACTAGCCTACTGGCCCAAGGAAGCTAGGAGGCATGTGGGCTAGGGCCCCCAGCTGCAACCAGCCTGCACTAGCTGACTCTGACCAACTCATAGAAACTTGAGCAAAAACAAGTGATTACTCCTTTAAGGCACTGAGTTTTGGGATGGTTGGTTATACAGAATTTTTGTGGCAAGAAATAATTATTATGGAAATTATGTGGGCCAGAAAACATAGAGAAAGTAATACTAACCCCACCTGAACAGAGTTACAAGTTTAGAAGAACTAATGAAAGATTTGTAAAACTATAACCAGGCTAGATGAACACCTTATAAAAATGATTTACCAAATTTTAACTTTGAGTTTCTTTTGCAAACTGTGACCAAGAAGAAAATAAATGTGTGTATTGTATCTCACCAATGAAATAGGTAATGACAAAAGCAAACTCAACTTCTAAATATATGTGAAAAGTTAAGGTGTTTCCTATTTGATACAGTTCACTCATTTGCTCAAGAAATGTTGAATGAGTTGTGTGTCAGGGCCATTCTAGACCCTGGAAATATAGTGTGGAAAAAATGGACAAGGCCCAGGTCTTATGAAGCTTGTATTCTATTGGACATTTAGAAAATAAAAAAAATTAAATAAAGCAGGTAACTTCAGATAATGATAAGTGCTATGAGAAAACTCAGGCAGGGTAAGGGATACCTTAGGTAGTTTAGGGAGGACTTCTCTGCGGATGTGACATTGAAACTAAGACCAAAATGACATCAATAATTCAAGGGAAGAAAGACTACATTGAAGAGAATAGCAGATGCAAAGGCCCTGAGGTAGGAATATGCTGGGAGTGTTCTAGGTATAATTAGAGATGTGGAGAGGAGCCATGTCGTATGAAATGAAGTGGATCATATTTAAAGAGGCCAGGACATTCGGTGTTCCTTTGGCTAGAGTAAGAAGTCTGTTTTATTCCAAGGGGAATGGAATCCACTGAAGTGTGCTAAGTGTATGACTTGATTTATGGGTTTTAGGAGCTCAGTCCTGGCTGCTGTACAGGGAATAGATTGTGGGTGGACAAGAGCAGAAGCAAGGAGGTCGATTAAGTCATTGCATCATGGCGGCTACAACTAGCATGAGGGTAAGGATGGAGAGAAATGAGCAGGTTTGAGATATATATTGGAGGTAGAATCAAGTCGTCCTGGTGGATTGGATGTGAAGGAACATGAGAAATGAAGGATAATGCCTAGGTGTTTAGTTGGGGTAATTGAGAGGATGGTTGTTGGTGCCGTTTCTGGAGATGAGGAAGAAGCGAGGAACAGTGAACTGGGGGGAGGGAGAGGTCAGGAGTTTTGATTGAATGAGTTAAGTGTGAACTTAGACGTTGAATTGGATTTGCCCAGTAGGCTGCTGGACATACTAATTGGGTAGTGAAGGCTGAAGATACCACTTAGGCAGTCATCAGCATATAGATGGTATTTTAGCCAAAGGACCAAGTGAGTTCATCTAGAAAAAAGAAGTGAAAGTGTTTTATCTCTAACTTTAAATTTAAGAAGTTTTAAATTTTAAAAACTGTTTAAAAATAAATAAACAGAAGAAGCAGGAGGACTCAGCCACAGAGCATGCTGACATTTAAAAGCTCAGCAGAGAAAGAGGAGACAGAAGAAGAGCCTGAGAGAGAAGCTGAGAGAGTGCGATGCTGTGGAAGCCAAGAGAAGAAAGTGTTCCAGGAAAGAGAGTCATCAACTTGGGTTGTGTTGGTTGAATGCTGCTGAGTCATAAAGTAAGATAAGGACCAAGGAGTAACTATCGGCTTTGGCAGTGAAGAGCTGATGGGTAACTTTGACAAAAAAAAAAGATTTAGTGGACTACTGGACACAGAAGTCAAATGGAATGATTGAAAAGTGTCGAGACCATCCTGGTCAACACGGTGAAACCCCGTCTCTACTAAAAATA